ACCTGATCTTAAGTTTTAGTTCTTTCGAATCTATTATTTGCAATCTCTCTTTAATTAATAAACTTAGGTTATTTTCATTTTGATTTTCGACTTGCATTAAATAGTTAGCTAGATCAAATAATTTTTCTTATTGAATTAACTTTCATTATTTTAACTCTACTTTTAATTGAAAGGACAGACATTTTGCAAATCTAGTTTCTTATTTTACGCGATTTCTAATTATAAATTTATAATTACCATCTTAAAAGATACTTAAGTATCTCTTAAGATGGTAATTAAGTTTTTCGAATGTTTTATATAGCTTGTAGAAATAAAATGTTTAATTACTTGTAGAAAGTTTATAAGTAAAAGTTGAGCGCAATTTAATAAAATAAATTTAAAAATAGTAGTAAATTTTTTAGCGACTAATTTTTATACTCAAGAAGTATCGCAAAAGGGTATTGCAAATCTTGTCTTATCTTAGTTTAAAAATTTTAAACTTAATTCCTCCTGACTTAAGATCTCTTAATTTATAATATCTAAATTTAGAATATCTTAACTTATAATATCTTAACTTATAATATCTTAACTTATAATAACTTAACTTATAATAACTTAACTTTTAATATCTTAACTTCTTATCTAATATTAACTCTTTACAAATACCTCAAAAATGAATGAAATAACAAAAACACTGTTAATCTGAAATAACAAAAACGACTGTTAATCCTGAAGAAGAATTTCTTTAATAATACTAAATCAAAAAATACTCAAAATTTAATAATGAATTCTTAATTAAATCACAAATAAATAATCATTAATCGCAACAAATTTAATAAACATATAAACTACACTTAATTAAATATTTTAATATCTTCTTAATCATGTGTTCCATAAAGAGCTTGATCAGTTCTTGGGCTCCATAAAGAGACAAGTACTATAAGTACTAATGCATGTAATATCTCTAGATTAAAACTACGATTTGAATATTACTTCTCGTATATTTTAAGATAACTCACATAGCTCAACATAAATACAAGAATTCAAATATCCAAAAGCGCAATAGATTGACAGCTGCGTTGTAGCAAGGCGTTAAAAGCAAGGTCTGTCGACTCGCGTAAAAACATGTAATTTTTTCGCCAAAGATTATAGGATGCCTGGGTAGAATAACAATTCATAAATAACTAACAAACATAACTTTTTGCTCAAAGATGCTTTTTGTTTTGATTAAAGATGCTTTTTGTTTTGAATGTTTATAGTGATTACTTTCAAGTTTTTGTGCGTAAAATTTATGAAATAGATTTTCGGTTCGACACTTATTAGGAAATTCCCTATTAAAACTATAAGTACCATTTTTTATAATAATAACATAAGTATTAAATATTTCTTGAAACTTCATTTAGGGATCATCAAGTTGGCTTACTATTAAATAAACGGTCTGAATAAACTTTTTTGACAAGATATATTTTATAGTTCAGTAGATTTAAATCCAAATATGTATATAAAAAAAAAAAGCTATCAGATTCAAACTGACATAATCAAATTCATACATAAATAAAACAAAATAAATCACAATTATATATAATGAAAAGGAGTTAATTGATTGTTAAAATCAAAAAATATTGAACTTAACTTTAAAAACGTTAGAACTTTAAAACCAAAGAACTTTAAAACCAAAGATGAACATAACTATATAACTTGATACAATTTTCATAAAATATTGTAAAGTAGAAATTATTTGTGTAGCAAACGTTTCATCTTTTTATCACTTCTTTTATTTCGTGGACATAGATCACGATTGCACAGTTTAATAAAAATAAAAAATTTTCGTAGTGACAAAGGTATGAACAATTTTTTTTTGTAAATAAAATGCATGTTCAATATGATATTTAAATAAAAAGTCAAAAGTACAGATTTCTATTATTTTAGAAGATAACCTAAAAGCTAAATCTTCAGTATCAAGCAACTTTTCAATAAATTCCATCAATACTGTTTCCATATGACAAATCAATAATACTAATAATAATAAATTCAGTGAACAATTTTGACTGTATGTTTGTTTATTGACTTCCAAACCATGTTTACTAGCTATCGTAATATCTGTCAATTCATGATAAAGCACTACCTTTCACTATTGGCACAGATAAACTCTTTTTATTAACAAGTTAGCAAAATCCGTATTTGCTTGTAGAATTTTTTTTTTCATTGAATTGTTACAGGAAATCTGTTCAAAGGATTATTAATTTTTTTTTTTGTCAGCAAAAAATAAACATTCTTGTTTAGTTTTTTTTTTTTTTTGTACATTTCTAAATAAAGAATTAATATCTAATACCGCACTAAAATCTGTTTCAATCTGACAATTGCTTTTAGATTTGCTACTTTCTACTGATAATAACAATAAAGAGTTCTGGTAAACTCCCCATATTTTCTCGTAAACTATCTGAAAAAAGAAGTGGTTTATGAGTATCCCTCGCTCAGAACTGGACTTTAACAAAATATAGCGTTGTTTGTAAGTTGCATTGGCCAGATGATGCTGAGTTTACTTTAAATTATGGTAAACTGAGAGCAATTACTCCATCAGTGTTTCCAAATATCTCTAAAAGCTGTCCTCATACTTCTAAATACAAATACCTCTAAAAATAAAATCACCTCTAAAAAATAAAATACCTCTAAAAGTTGTCCTCAGTGTTTCCAAATATCTTTAAAAGTTGTCCTCAATTCTTTTCACCTTAAAAAGTAGGTAAAACTTTATCTTCTTTAAAAACAGGTATTAAAAAAGATGAATTAAAAGCGTATAAATAATTAAAAATTAAAAATTTATAGCTATTGAAAAGCACTTGTCTACTAAAAATGATACCATTGATTACTACCATAACAACTCTATTTTTATCCAGTCTAAAGTATTTAATTATGGAGTTCAACTACCTTTGCTGATAGTTAATCAAAGCTTAATGTTTAAAACATTTCATTAAGGTTTAAAATATACTGTTAAACCTCTTTCGAATTACAGAACAACTTCATTTAATACAAAGTTAGCTTTAAATAAACCTTAGATATCTAAATCTTAGATATCTAAAAGTTAAAGATGATGTTCATAAACTCATATATTATTTGAGCATCTAAATGAAATGGAAGATTATTCTGTTGGCTGTAATGTTTAGATACAATAACTAAGGCTTTTGAATATTTTGCAGCAAGTTGTTCCACTTACAATCACTTGTGTTTTGATTATCAGTTGCCAAGTTTTCGAATTTTAACTCGTATAATTTCAAAAATAAATTCTCAAGATTATTAAGTTTTTTGAGGTTCTGTGCAATCAAATCTTCTGTGCTATCAAATCTTCTGCGCTATCAAATCTTCTGTGCTATCAAATCTTCTGTGCTATCAAATCTTCTGTGTTATCAAATCTTCTGTGCTATCAAATCTTCTGTGCTATCAAATCTTCTGTGCTATCAAATCTTCTGTGCTATCAAATCTTCTGTGCTATCAAATCTTCTGGAAAAAAACGAAATTATGTTTTATTGATATATAAAATTTATGTAATGGCTGCTTTATTATATAAAAGTAGAAATATTTTTGGAAAAACTGTTAAGTATCCAGAGAAATAAGCTACTACTATACTTTCATTTATTTTTTGGGAGTTGATTATAGATGTTTGAAAAAATAGTGACCGTTAAATGTCTAGGTAGATATCTTAGATATAGGGATGAGCTCTTCAATGTAATCAGATTGGGTTAACTCAAAAAAATTGGCAGTTGTTGCAACAATGGTTCAAAATATAAAACTAATATTTTGTAAACGAGTTTACCAGCTAACAAGCGATACCAGCAATTCACTTTCACATAATTGTAATGGTCTAATTGTTTTCTCACCATCTTATATCAATTAGAAATTATGAAATTTTAAGTTGGTTTTCTTCTAATCCAATAAAAAAATGCTTTGAAAAATTAGATCAAGGATCCGGTGGTATTTATTTTATAACCGCTAAATTAGTTATTAAAAAGAACTTATTCAACATGATAAGCTGGTGCTACAGCTTAGTATTAACGTCGAAAGAAATTATGGCCATGACTCTCTTTTATGTCTTGACGATTTATAGGAGTTTGATATTATTTACAATTTAGCAGATCTAGAAGATAGTACAAATATAGAAGCTTAATATTCTATTGTCTATATTGCTAGTAAAAGTGTTCCACTAAAGAAATTAGTTATGATATACTATAAAAAATATAGAACTTATTTGAATACTTTATATAGTGGAGGACTCTAGAATGATCCATCTGACTTTTTATCTTAATGGTCTTTATTTTGCTACATTTTTTTTTTCTTTACTAGATAAATGAGTTTGCAGAACATTTCTGATTCAACAGTTAAAATTTATTATAGAGTTTCTATTTCAAAGAAACAATGCACTGGCAAATTTCTTTTTAATGAAATTTGAATTACTTCACACTCCCAAAAGTAATAAAGAAACTGAAAGAAATTGTTAACGTCATTTTTTTCTATATTGTAAAAAAAAAATTTGTCTTTTTTTTTTTCACCTTAATATTTCTCTTAAATTAAAAAATCTCAGATGAAAATGTTTTAACTTAACTTTAATATAAATATATAAATATTTATTCTAAAATGTCAATAGTTTAAAAATAGAATTCGGATAAAAATGTCCATAAATTTCAAAATAAATATGTCTTGCGCCCAATTAATACCCAGCCAGCCAAACAACGCGGGACCCACACGGGGCCCGCGTTGTTTAAAGTATGGGACCCGTACGGGAAACCCAGTCGGGACCCACAAGGTTTTGTCCAGGGGGCCCGCACGGGAACCGTATGGGAACGTTTTAGGAAGGGTCCCGCACGGGAACCGCATGGGAACGTTTTTGGAAGGGTTGATCGCGGGATATGGTAATAAAAACTGTTTGTTAACTTTAATTCGTGTCTATATATATCTAATTACGACTTGTCTGACCACACGCACGAGTATCACCGAACGGCAATACTAAAATTTCTAAGAACGATGGTAAATCTATTAATTAATTTTATTTAACAGTCTAATATTTTTTAAGTTTAACTATATTTCTGATTAAAACAAATCAGTATTATCTGATACAGATACTTTTGATTTCCGGTTGCCTTGACCTCGATCTCGGGCGTTGGCAAACCATTTGCGCAACTCGATCTCAATCTCCTTTTGGGTAGCATTAGCGGTCAATGCATTTCTTTTAACTGCACCTAAACACAAACAAAAATAATTATGAATGTTAGAAAATTTAAGTTAAAGGATTTGGTCTAAAATAAAAAACAGTAATTAATTGCCATATATATAATTGCCTATGACAAAATTTAGAAAATAAAACTACAAGAGTTTCACAACTTCAAGTTTCATGCTATTGCAATCATTAGATCTGATGATTGAAATAGCATGAAACTTAAAGTGGTGAAATCCTTGTAGTTTAATTTTCAACATTTATATTATAGCTCTGATTTATTTATTTATTTCATTGAGCACTTTCTTGAAAGTATATGCATTCCAAAACAGCAACACCATATATATATATATATATATATATATATATATATATATATATATATATATATATATATATATATATATATATATATATATATATATATATATATATATATATATATATATATATATATATATATATATATATATATATATATATATATATATATATATATATATATATATATATATATATATATATATATATATATATATATATATATATATATATATATATATATATATATATATATATAGATCATCATAATAGTCGAAAGTTGTGGTATGTAACAAACCTTCATCTCGTCAGGGCCTTGTTGGAATGTCTAAGATTGTTTCGAAGATATATAAATATATATCTTCTAAATATATATAAAGATATATAAGTCTATGATATTGGGAAGAAGGACCTAAAAATCCTCGATGCCCTCGGGCATCAAGGCATCAAAAGGTGTAGCTACGGCTCTGATATGTATATATTATGTATAACATTAATTATAACAAATATATTATTTTTATGTTAACATATTTTAATTTAAATATATTCCAATATATTTAAAATAATATATGATAATTATGTGAAAATAAATATTATGTGAAATGTATAACATACCACAGACTACTTCAAATATTTCCAGTTTCGAAAAACATACTTTTCCAGCCTGCCCAGAGAGATTGCACAGTCTTCCAAGATTATTAGACAGAATAAATTTCATCATTCTTTTGATGGCATCATCCAATGAGCTTCCACCAATATTAGACACAATAGAAGTCTTTAAAAAGTAATAAGTTTGATTTAGTAGATTTAGTAAAAAAATAATAATAACAAAATGAACTAAAATGATTAAACTATTAGACCAATTGCGTATGCTAGTCTAAACATTTTTTTGGTCAGATATAAAAAAGGGGAGGAGGTTCTACAAAAAAAGCAAGATAATTCTCAAGTGGATTGGGGGCAATTATACATTAAAATAAACCAATAAATTAAAATATATATTGTTCTTAGACACAGAAACAAAAAATCTTTACTAATCACCAATGTTCTCTTGATTGATCGATCTTTTAGTTGCTCCTCCAAATTATTCATATCTTCAATACTGGAAATGGGAAGGTTAATGCCTATAGGCAATTCATTATCTTTTTCCATCTGAGGTGTATTTATTTGTCTCATTATAGACTGTAACATTACAGAATGAGTCTTTTGATTTTCTTTTATCTCTTCAAGCGTTATAATTAACCTCTCCAAAAGAACAGCTAAATAATTTTTTATTTATTTGTTAAATATAAATAAAATGGTAAATACAAACTATACAGTCAAACAGGGTGTAAAATGTTCAATTAATTTTAATAAACCTTATAAAATATTATTTAAATAAATGTGCAACTTTAAAAACAAGCTTACTTGAGTTGATCGAAGTTAACACATGCGCTGGTGTTTCAACAATAGTTTTTAATTGACTTGACAAAACATCCGGTTGTAATACACCAGACTGGCTCTCGGATGGTTTGGATTGTGCATTGTTGAGATATTTAGATATTGAGACATTTTCTTTGATTTTAACCTGAGACATATGTGAGCTTGATTGTATTGCCCTCAAATGTTCAGGTGGTGTTGGTTTTGTAATAACACAGCTGTTTGTATTTCTGAAACAACAATTAAAAAACAAAATTTTCGAAAGATGTTCAAAAATAGAATTTTAAAGCGGCGTTGTAAAATTTGTTAAAAAGAATTCATTTTTTTAAATTTTTTCTATTTTGATTTATTGTGGTTTTTTGTTTTTTATGTTTAAAATTTTACGTGAAAAAAATTAATTTGTTGTCATTTATTATTTCCAGAATTGTAATATACCTTTATATGCATACATATATACAAACTGTAATTTGAAAAAAAAAAAATTCTATATAACTCACGATATAAATGTTTGTGTGTATTGTCTCATACAGTTTAATGTGTTGATTTTAATTAGTTTATATTTTTTTATAAAACTATTGTAAACAATTCAACGAAAAATAAAGTTTTTAAATTAAATTTAAAAAAATAGGTTTTAAACTTAAAAACCAATGTATACTTCCTATGATTATTAAAATATAAACTTTAATTGTCTATGGGTATTTTAACAGCCTATTTTTCAATAAACTTTACCAATCGTCTATTAACTATTAATCTATTAGCACTACTAGTTTTTCAAATTTTAAAATATTCACACTTCTATTCTACAAAAAGCCTAATAAAATTTGAAAATATAAAATGGGACAATAAGAAAATATAATAATATTAAATTAATTTTTTTTTTTATAATATTACACTTTTTTTTCATAATATATACACTATGCAAATAGAACTAATTTATTTTACCCTGTTAATACGCTTTCTTGAATAAAGTCTTCAACTTGATCATCATCAACATCACTTTCATAGGTGAAAGAATATTTTCTTTTTCTGAAAAAAGATTTTAAATTATAATTAAAAAATAAATTAGAATTTTTTTTTAATAATTGATTTTATTATTAAAACATTCAATATATTAAAATCAAGTCTGAAAATAATTTATAAATCTGAAAACCACCAAGTATATTTTTAAAAGTTTAAAATAAATTTAAAACAATGATATGCTAAATTTTTTTGGTAACTCTTAACAAAACTAAAATAAATTTTACTTGAATTCGCAAACCTAATTTTCCGTGTTTCCATATCTCTATAATCACTAGAATCATCTGTATCATAATCAACATTGGATGTCTCTTCAGCCTGTTTTGTTTTTTCTTTTGCGCTTTTAAGAGTGTCTAGAAAAAATTACTTATATTTTGTGTACATCGATTTAAATATGCAGTAAAATATTTTAAACAACATTAGTTAAATATTATGCTCTAAACAATTTTTGTTTTAACTTCTTGCAAATTTATGTATATAATTGGCTGTCAAAAATATGCACAGTCAGCATACTTTGGAAATGGGAGAAAGTTATCCTTTCTACCATTACCAGAGCATTTTGTATTTTTAACGTTTAAATTTTATATTAAAAGAGTGACACAAAGAATATCTAAAAATTTAACAAAAGTTTAACTTACTTGCAGTTCCCAGAATTCGTACTTTGTATAAAAGCCAGTGTTCTTCTGGGTTACTGCATATTTTTTTGGCATTTAACACTTTGTTTGCTGATTTTACTGGTGGATAGTAAAAATTTAATACAGTTTTATTTTTGATTAGATTTTTAACATCCCAGTTGAGTCTATCAACCATCCACTTGATTGGCAGAAAATCTATCTCTTTAGTTTCAATATATTCGAGAACAGCATACATTTTTGAAAATTTATTATTGTAAAAACCCCTCTGAAATTAAATAAACAATGTCATGTAATCATAACTCTAATAACTTACTCATTCTGTAACTTTTTTAAACCAAATGAAAATAATCTAAAATAATATCACAACTAAGCCTGTCAAAGCCGAAACTTTTTTATATTTATTTATTTATGGAACAAAAAATCGTATTTAAAACATTCACAATGTAAACTATATAAATATGGCAAAAACTTGAAAACAATTTTGTTACAACTTATGAGAAATGCATTTGAGGTAAAGCAACAAATCCTTGTTTAAATGGGAGTAGAAGATACTTGGTCACTAGACTAGTAACAGGAAAGGTTCGTCTTATGCCAGTAAGTTTGGTCACAAAGTATATTGAAAGTGAAATCGAACTAACTGGATCTGAAAAAAATAATTCTAAATCTTCAAATTCTTCAAACACAACTAAAGCTTTACTAGGTTCAGCAAAGGTGGAATTATTCAGAATATTTTTTACAATTCCTAACTTACTTTCAATTGTAAAACAATTATCTCCAATGGATGTGGAAACAAAATAGTCCGGTCCATAGTATTGTTCAAACTGGATATAAGATTGGTATTCAACAGGAATAGGACCATCAAAATGAATCTTCTTCAAGATAGGTTTTTTATTGGAAGTGACTTCATTGACGTTGCAGTGCCCTTCAATAATTCGACGTACCACTTGACCAGTTGGATTTTGTGGCTTCCGAACTAACTTTTTTAATCTTCCTAGGTAACTTTCATATCTAAACGCTGAAATGTTATCAAGAACACCATAACGTTTAGCATCACTTGGTAAATGTATTAAAGAATGAATATTATATACAAGTTGATTTTCACCATATAACTTTGAAAATGTTACCACAAAGTATTTTAAAAGTTGTTCGGCATAGTCAAGATTTTTTGACAATAAATTTGGGCTGAGCAATATTCGTATGGCAACAGACAAATCGAGGAAATTTGAATAAACTGTGTCTTTTAGAACATTTTTCAAGACAACGGGCCCAGTGTACAATAAAAATTGTCTTAATTCAGTCGCTTTCCATTTTTTATATTCTGAAAGAGATCTTGGTTTTCGTGAAAACTCTCTCGGGATGTGTTTACGAATAACAGCTAAGTTGTCAGATATCATAGATAACTGTAACTGAGATAGCTTACAATACCCACGCGGTCCATGAATCCATTGAAACAGAATCCTGCGCATAACACCTAAACACACAATGTGCATATAATCTAACGGAAATTCTGTAACCATACCACAACCCAACTCCTCCAATGGTGAAGTACCTACATGATGTTTAGAATACTGACGCTCAGTAAAGATAAAGTCTGTAATTATTGGTGCTGCTATATTAGGTAGTGTGATTTTGTTACACCACTTACCACGCTGCATACATCTCTCACATGAATTATAACCAGAGTGAGGCTTAATACATTTAATAAATGCCCTTGCTGGTGTATCGCATATTATAGCATCAATTTTCACTCTGTAAGTTTTATTATTAAACAAAAACTCATGTTGCTTTAACGTCTTCATTTCTGAAACAAGATCATTCAAATATTCATCAAGAGAAGTAGGTTTTTTTGTACTACTATAAATAGCAATAGGAAAAGTTCCGCTTAACGGACACTCTTTCAGTGAACCAAGAATTGGCCAAAAAGAAATAGAATTGCTGTTAAAAAGTGGTACACCATCTATGTTGATATGAATATGTAAAAGTTCAACTTGAGAATTGGGCAGATTGAATTTAAAAATATTTTGTATCCAATACTTCACCCCAAAATAATAATATTCTCCACCTGCAACATGCTTGATGTCAACATTTCGGCAAGTATTTAAAAGAGTTCTTGAATCAATAGGAAGATTACAGTGTAATGGATTCAATATGCGTAATAAACTTCCTAAAGCTGAATGAGATACACGATAGGTTATTGCCCAATCTTGCAATTTATTACCTAGTGTAAATTCATCACTTTTATTATTATCATCAGTATCATCACTTAAGGTGCTGATAACTTTATCAACTTCCAAACCACAACTAATATAATCAACACTTGATTTATTTTCATTACCATCAGAGAGCATTTCTGAAAACTCGGTTTGAGATCTATCAAAAATAGCTAAATGTTCATTTCGATTTTTGTGCCTATTTGCATTTTGATCAAAACTTTTTTTACAACTACTAAAGCTTATGTCATTCACAGTCCTTGAAGTAATATCAGGATTATCTAGCATGGAAATACTTTCATGTTTATCTTTCTGAGATAACTCTGTCAGTATATTTGTAACTCTTGAATTAATTCTTCTTCTTTTTGTTCTATCTGAACACGTCTTGAAATTAACGTTAAATGTTGCCATTTTTAAATTTAGTTAATATTTTCTGATAACAGCTGTTGTTTAAATAATAAATATGTAAAGATAATACAAACCAACAACTATGGTTAGCTAAAACATGCAACAGTTATCTAATGAAACATGCAATAGATTACCTGTCGAAACACGAATTTTCGTATAATAAATAAAATAAAATAAACTATTTAAATATATTTCGTATATTGAAATAATTCATTATACGAAATAGCATAAATAACATTTAAATGTGTATATAATTATATAAACATTACATATAAAACATATAAACGTTTATATAAACATTTCATATAAATAAATACATAGTCTATGTATATAACATAGATAAATCTATAAATTAAAAGCTCAAAATTTCCAAGTCGCTTAAAAAATTAAATTTTATTGGATTTCTAATGTGTTCGCAGTGGAATTTATATACGTGATGGTTCGCGAAATCTACACGGGACCCACTCTGAAACCGACACAAAAACCTCGCTGAACCCAGGCTGGGAAACCCAGGCTAGCCCAGACAAATACGGCGCGGGACCCGAGTGTTATGGTTTGCTGGGTATTATATTTTATTTTTTATTCATTTTGTATTTTTCAATATATACTTTTTAAATAAAACTATTTATTAATTTATTAAATTATTATTTATTAATTTTCCTCAACTTTATTTTGCATATAAATAGTTAAAATTAATGCAGACTATTCGGTCGTTTAAACGACCGTGTAGTCTAAACGTAAACTTGTAAACGTTTACAAGCGCTATTATTAGGTACGCATGCGTGAGAAAATACGAAAAACTTTTGAACTTTTAAAATGGCTACGGTTCTTAACTACAGAGTATATTTTATATGGCAACCGTGTTATTTGTTATTTGATTTCTGAAAACTCTATGTTGTAGGCTTATTTTTAAAGTAGATCAGTATATTATTACAAAAATTTCAAAAAAATATAAATAAAAAAAGAATAAAAAATATCTTAGAGCACTTAAACTTTATTTTCAATTAACAAATTTTTAGAGAAAATTATAGATTTGTTTATTTATTTAAAATCAATTTTCTCAAAATCAGACTGTAGGATTTCAATAATTTTTTTTTCAAACTTCAGATAAATATGTTCTATATTTATGATATTTTTTTGGTCACTGCTTCAACTTTTTTTCAATATAAAAATTTGTTTTTACTGTTATGACTATTTGTAAATATATTTACTAGTATAT